CTTTATTCTTAAATTTTGTTTTTACTTAATAATTTATAATTACGGTACATGTACCGCAGTTAGACAGTTTTTATTAGTATATTATTATTATTATTATTATTATTATTATTATTATTATATAAATAGTTATTTAGAGGAATTCGTTTATAATTATTGCTTGTTGAAACACCTTTCAAGTCTAAGATTGTCATGGGTACCACCATGAAAGGAATGTAAAGCAACTAACAGCAGCTAACTTAAACAAAATCAAAATGTATATTGGGAGCTATGGAGGATGGTTTATTGCATGTTTTTGATCTGTTGTTTTTAAGTTTGGCTAAAATATTGGAAGGCTGCATCTATACTTGTAGCCACCAACCTATCTTATCATCAACTTATCTGTGAATTGTTGTTTTTAACTCAGAATTACGAATTAATTTTATTAATCATCAATATTAATATATCATCAAATTCTAACATTACTACTATAATATTAATGCTTGTGGTACACCACGTATATAGTTCTGAAAAGAACTGTTGTTGATTGAGAATATCTCAACGTTTTGATTAAGTTGCTTTTAATTCCTCCATGCTTCAATCGTGCAGGAAAATAATATCTGGAGATAATTTTAAAACAATGAAAACTAAGTTTTCAACCAATCAGTAGCAAGTACCACTACCCAAAAAATATAAGTATTTCACTGTTTTTAAATTTCTGCAGATATTATTCTCCTGAAGACGATTGAAGCCACTCAATCGAAAAGTCGAGATATTCTCAACCCACAACAACAGTTCTTTTCAGAACTATCTACGTGGTGTACCGCAAGCATTAATATATATATATATATATATATATATATATATATATATATATATACTTCACCATGCAAACATTCAAACAACATTACTACTATCATTCAGCATTACTGCCGTTATTGTGATCATTATGAACATCATCACCACCGTCATTATCATCATAATCATCCACCTCTCAGCATCCTTATCATTATAATCATCGTCATTACCATGATCATCATCATCCTTATCATCGTCTTTATTATTATTAAATATTATGGTTATTATAAAATTGTTCTTAGAACTGTCATCATCATTATCATCATTTACATCATTAAGTAAAGATTACCAAGGTACACAATACTGGAAGTAATAACTCAAATCTCTAGTGTTTTTGGAGTGTGCATGTTATTAATATAATCAATGGACCACTTGGTTTTTGTACGTATTCAAGTAGAGAATACTGGGCTGGACAGTGATTGACCCTTCTTAAAATGCAGATTAATTTCTAGACGAATGGAGAGAACCGCAAATAAAAACTGATTAATTTTCTAGATGAGACGAGAGTACAAGCAAATAGACAATTGAGCTATGAGTCCAACGCATATTATTTTTCCATAAGGATGCGAACTTAATTATTAGTATTAATAAGTGTATCATAATTAATGCGAGAGAATAATGACGAGTATTGTGAAGTGCAGAAGAATGGATAGTAGGAGTAAATAAGGTTGATTAATAGCTGGATGAGAGGAGAAGTGAAATGATTGATCTTTGAGGCCAAGTTGTTATCTGTTGGTTTTCTTTTTCTGTCAAGTAATAGCAAAAATAATACTTATATAAGATCTAGTGTATAGACAAGTCCACAAGAATGTGATTAAAGATCTAATTCATAGAAAAATATAAGACGACCGGAAATAAACCTATGTTAACAAAATAGAACCTAGCATTTTGTGAAGTTGAGATGAATGGAGAGTCATAGGAAATGATTTTATTAAATTCTAGATAAAAGGAGATTTAATAAAAAAAAAAATAAGCATTTTGTGAATAAATGTTTTTATGTTGATTTTCTTCTGGATCTTCTTGGATTGATAAAAGTTTCCTTAAACGTCACACACATTATTTAGTCTAATACAGGACAGTATTATTATTTTTGTGGGAGCGGTTGACGCATCTGCCTTTCGGTCTCTCAACCTCCAGGTCTAGGCGTTTCGCTTAGTTCTTGGACAAGTCACTTTACCTACGTTTGTCTCTATACACCCAGGAGTATAAATGGGTACCGGTGGTTAACTACTGGGGAAGAAAAGGGTGGGGTGGAAAGGAACTGGCCACCCTACCACGCAATGCTGAGGCTCTGCAAGATGGGCTAACAGCTCATTCCAATACGTTCAGTAATGAATACGAAACTACCTTTAGTATTATCACTTACTGTATATGCACTTAACTAAATGTAACTTACTAAAGTCCAAGCTCGGCGAAGACTTGCTTACTTTGAATCTGTGACGACATACCAGTATGTCCGCTGCTAATGTCGGTAATGTTGTCTGCACTTTGTTGCATGCTAACCATACTTCCCAGCAATCCTCTTCCCGCGCCATTATCTGCCAAGCGAAGATAAAACATCATAAAATGTATGTTAGGTCTCACCGCAAAATAAGTCACATGATTGTGTAATCAAAATTTATTATATTCGAATAGGCCATATTTTAAGCTTTAATTAAGTCTTTAAAAAAATTTCTTTCCTAAGAGTAACCTTTTATGTTTAGATACATAGAACCTAGCTTCGAAGTTAAAGTAATAATAACAAATAAAATACTAAAAGCACAATCTGCAAAAACGAATGGTTAAATTGAATAAATGTACACTACCATAATATATGAACATCAAAGTATTCAATATTCGATATGGTCTCATTTCTCGGAGAGACTTTTTTCCAGACGGTGTATCACATAATTGTTATTTTAACATTATACCTACCATCTATATTACTATTATTATATTTGTTCATAGGTTACGTGAATTAGTATCTCGCATTATTAATTTAGCAGTATTATGTTACCAATGTCAATATTTCATCATTGGGCCTATGTCATTATCTTATCAGTGGGCTTTTCCCTCCCTCGTCGATATTTTAACAGTAGAAGTATAATTTTCTGAACAGCATTGATCAATGGTGGCGCCAGGATTTTCTCGACGGGAGGGGGGAAGGGGTGGGGATCCGAGGTCCCCGACAGGGGAGGGGTGATGTCCCAGACGAGAGAAAAGGGGGCATGGTCTGGCGCCGCTCAAAATATTTCGAAAGTAGTCCAGGGGGCGCAGTCCCAACAAATTTTACAGTTTATGAGTTTCAAAGGCTTATTTAATCGATGTTAGAGTCTACTAATATGTAGAAAATGTATATACTTTTTTTTCTCCTACGAATTGTGGCTTTTCTCCCCTACGGGGGGGGGGAGGGGCTTTCCCAAATCGCCCGCTGGCGCCACTCCTGGCATCCATAACTATCAAAGTTACTATTAACTCATTAACACTATTATATAGGTCTATTAATAACGTTACATTATTATAAAAGTTCCAGTTCGTAATGTAAACAGTATCGTATCAGTACCGTATTTTATAAGAATCAATTGTTTATCAGTGTTAAAATCTTAAATGGACCGTTCTACTAAGTTCATACCCCTGGCCTTGGATAGGTTTACTGGTGCTAAGAAGGGCACACGAAACGACACCGAAACTTACTTAAACCTGTGTATTTTAGAGGACCTGTGAGTATTCCTGACCCTAAATATCACGTTCTGACTGCTGGTAAGTTGTTAAGCTGGATTGATAAAAATTAATATTTTATCAGTCTCAATATTTCATTAGGATTAACATGTGGATATGCTTATCATCAATATTTAATTAACATCATAATTTATACAGCTGATAGCATAGTATTCTTAAGCCGCCGGGCACATATTGCGCCGACGGTCCGGGTCGTTGGCCGATGTGATTCAATGAAGAACGCAACGTGACGAGGCGCGAGCAACCACTGAGAGCCACTAACAATCACCAGGCGGTATCGCATCGTCAAGCGTTCATATACGGAGGAGATGTGTTCGTCGGCCGAGGGTCACTCATACGACAAATGGTGTGCCCAGGCTTACGCTGCATTCACAAAAAATGCTCCGAATCGAAATTCAGACGTTTCCGAAATTCGGACAGCGTCCTCATTCCCACCCACTGATAACTCTGATGGCTTCGGTGGGCTTTTCGATCCGAAAACTTTGGAGTGCATATTTTTGCTAACATCATACTATTATGTGAAGTGTTGACAAAATAAGTTTTGCACATACCAGGTCATGGACTCATTTGACGAAAATATGGTTTCGAGATTTCCAATAAGCTTAAAGCCTACTTATATTTTACAATACCAATCCTTAAATAACTTGTTTAATGTTTTCGACTCACATTTTTAAGGCTGTTTTTCAGAATTGGTAAGATAAATAAGAAATTTATGAATTGTTTACCGTTTGATGCATTTTTAAAAAAAAGCATTAAAACTATCTTACTCCGGTCCCACTGAATCTATGACTTAGATATTCAAAGACCAAAATAAAGCCCAGTTGGTGTTTTTTTCCCCTGAATACATCAATATCTCAATTTACATATTTGTTAAGAAACATATTTTTGATGACACCTCACAAATAACATCTTATCAGTATTTCAGTATCATATCAGTATTTAATCACAATATATATATTATGAGAAAATTCAAAATAATCATATCTTTGTTTCATTACTGTTGGCCTAGGCTATCACTAATAAATGTATTGTCATAATCTACCAGAGTTTCATAAGTATCTTTTATAATCAAAATGCATGAAATATTCTAACCTGGTTTAATTTCGTCATAGTTTATTATCCAGCTTTCATCATACAGCATCTTCTGTTGTTTCCAGTAGAAATACTAATAATAAAATAAAAAATAGCACAAATGATTCAATAATTCCAATGAAAACTAACAAGCGATCATATTTAATATGATTATCAATCACTTAAGATTGATTTTCTTATTGTATTAAAAGTGCAATCTGTAATAAATGTATACGGGTATCTTAGTCATAACTATAACATGATTATACATACAATAGTACTGTGGACAACGATTATGACGGAAATCAATAAGCCGATGAAAACGGTCGAAGCATATAAACGAAATACTGAATAGGACTATCTATAGAGCAGGCCTAGTTATTCAGTGGTTTTGGTTCTGGTCTTGGAGGATAAATCCGACCTCCTAGGACTCCAAAAGAATAATGATAATAATAATAATAATGGTAATAATAATAATAATAATAATAATAATAATAATAATAATAATAATAATTATTATTATTATTATTATTATTATTATTATTATTATTATTATTATTATTATTATTATTATTATTATTATAAGACTCCATCACCGAAGTTTAAGACGCAAATTGTCAGTCGTGAGCAGGTTTGCTATTGGTAACAGATACAGATACCTTTATTATCATAAGAATACAAAGTACAATCACGAAATTTCCTTTCCTTATTGCAAATCTACTCCAGTATAAAAATAGATATAACTATAATTATATTAGAAAGCACATACGGTATCACAAAAACACAATTCTAACTACTGCAATAGATGATGGTAAAGGAATAAATGCTCAGTTAGTTTTAAGATATTTAAAGTTTCATTTATTTGAAATTGTAGGCCTAAGCAGAAGCTAGAAGATCAAATTATGAAAATAAAGAATGCCCAGATAATCAAGCCTTAGGCTTTATGATATTAGTTTTCGCCAACAAATTAATTACCATCTATGCATGTCGACCCCATGAGCAGGGAGAAAAGCGCTTCAACCGCAAGAAAATGCGCCACACAAGCAAAAATAACAAGTAAGTATATTGGGAATTGATGCATTTTATGTCTTCTGATCAGAGTAATACTCTTTAAAGATCGCCAATGTATTAATATTATATATGTATATCTTTATATAAATCATTGATTTATCTGGTAGGTAATTGAAGTGTTCTGATCTGTTATTTATTATATTCGTGTTTGTATTAACCATCCAAGTTGCACCTGTACTCCGTTGTATGTATGACAATGAAATAAGCTTTTATCGTATATTAAAATTATCGTATCTGCGTGGTGGTGTTGTAGGACGATTACCCCCACATTATATGATTGATTGCTTCTATCATGTACTATTATACTGTTGAATAAGAATGAATGATTATAATAAGTAATAGTGAACGTTAATTTTGTTGATGTGTCTTTGAAGGACTGTAACCAAATATACGGTATCTAGCTTCTATTGTAATAACAATATCATTGCTATAATGATAATCAGGGTGTTGATTCCATATGGCACACTATCTTCGAAATCAGACGAATAAATTATAATACACTTAGAGATCGGTTCTTACGCCTTGGTGTTGAAAAGCAAAGCGATCATCCATATCTAGATATAAATGCATGTAAACTTTAATTCATATGATAAGTTGATTGTTTATTTTATTAATAGTATTCATTGTTTAATTACCATAAATAATCTAATAAGCGTCTCTCTAGCATAAGCACCGCTCCCGATAAGGTCGCACATTTTATTTTTTCGCTAAGCACAAACTCTAAAATAAAGTGTTATGCACTTAAACCGGGCACTCACCGCGCCGTACGACGGTCGTACCACCGTCCTCGGCCAAGTTCCCTGCAGATTGTCGGTTGCATCCGTTTTGGTGCGCGACGTGGTTTTCTCCATAGAATCGCAGTCTTAGTGTTAAATGGAATGAACGTCTCGGCGATTAGTCAAGACCTAGACCCCATTACAACATGTCTTGATATTCGTCATCGACAAACTATTCGACAACCAATTTCTGACTGAATTAATAACTGGCATTTTAACAAGTCAATATCCCTATGTACAAGAATTTGTATCGTTTTTAAGCGCACCTTTTGAACTAAGCGCCGTCTTGACCAATAAAGCCAGGCACACACTCTGTCGGTCTACGCGATTCCAATAAGAACGCAACGCGATGAGCGGTGCGCAATGGATCGTCTTCAATGACCATCCACCCAGAGTGCAACCGAAAATCATCAGAAGGCGTCAGGCGTTGCGTCGTCAAGCGCTCACAGAGAGCGGTGATGGACTCGTCGACCGACCGTCGTACGACAGCGTGCGACGCAATGCGTCCGCCTTGGAAAAAAAAAAAACAAAAAAACAAAAAAAACAAAAAAAACAAAACAAAACATAACGTTATCAGCGCTTATCATGTAACTTACAGGATTCATTGCAAAGTAATATTAAAGTTGATAAAATTGTTCTTTCTTTGAATATTGGTATAATAATAGGCCTAATAATAAATAACGAAAACCTAGGCAGTGCACTGATATTAAAATACGGACATGTACATTTCAATTGGTCAACTTTATTACTGAAACTTGGACCATCACTGATGCAATGACTAATAGGATAGAAGCAATGTGGGCCTAACATTTGGGCTTTTTTTGGCGTAAGCTAAAACCGATTAGCACAGGAGACCGACAACTGTTTCACAGATGAATTGCTGATTCACATAAACGCTTTAGCCGAATTTTATAATTCCAATGAGGCCCAGATCGAAACAAGTCAATTTTCACTGATTTACATACGTTTTACTACAAAATTCCTAAGGCCTTAATTGATTACCAGTCAATTTAAAGGATCTATCCAATGAATATAAAAACGGTAACCCTAATATGTTACAATGATAATTAGGGAGGAAAATGTATCTCGTTATAATTGCAAGTTGAAAGATACGTTAATAATATAAAGATATATTGTCCCATGAAAAATACAAAAACAAAAAAAAATAAAATAAATAAAAAATTATAAAAATAATTTTTTTGAAATTAACTTGACGTTTTTAAGTAACATAATAATTATCAACTTTAAACATAGAAATTAGTGTATTTAAAAATGTTTACCATAATTTTACAGCAAAAAAAAGATTGAAACAAGTGTTATCTTTTATTTTAATCATTATATAGTATTAAAAAAATCAGGGTACACAATTTTTGAATTTAATAATTTCTATTCTCAAGCTAACAATTTGTTTGTTAATTACAAAATTATTTTTTGAATAAATGATGTTTTTTTTGATAATTTTCAAGGGACAATACATCTTAAAACACTTAAAAATGTTATTTTAGCTCAATTCAAGCAGTATACAGTTTGAATACAACGGAAATATATATTACGGTAGTTTGCATATGCTAAAAAAAAAAGCACAAAAAAACCCTAATGTACGGTACGGTATAATAAATTTAAAAAAATTAATCATTTCTTTGTTTCCTTATCATGACATCATTACAATAAAATGTCTGTAGCTGAAACGTATTGCAGAGTAAGCTATAACTAAGCTTATGGTGTGCTTTTTCCGTTTTATCCATAAATAATATTCAAATCAATTTTCCATTAAAACATGTTTTAATGTTTTTGATGAATTTTTAAATTCAAAAATTGAAATTATACTATATTATACAGATCAATTTTATTTACATAATTGCTGGTCACATATTAAATGTGCTCTACGGTACGTCTGTCGATCCATTTATTAAGGCAATCAGTATTTTATCATATTTTTAAAACTGCTATTGCGAATTCAAGTTTATATTCAAATCAACTAACTCAGGTATCTGACTTTTAGAAAGGCGAACATATAAAATATATTCGTATGTTAAGACAACTAAATTAATGTGTATTCATTAAAGACACCACCGAATACGTCAATTTAAATGATAACACTCTTTCGTTGCTTTAAAAAAAGTGGCTATTGACATCCTTACAGAATGAAATTGGTACAGTCTTAAAATAAATGCGAAATAGTTCTCATCTCTAAGTGACAGAACGTACATTTATCAGTGCTTGTATTATATTAATTTTGAAAAGCGACTCGTTTACCATCAGAACACGGCGCAAGCATTCAAATTGAAAATAGTATGCTTCCCTGCCCAATTTAAATCTGACGCATTAAAGTATATGGCCCATTTGATCTCCGAAACAGGAATGCTTAAACAAATCACAAATTAATTTACATACCTCCTTGCGATCGCATTATGCTAAAGCAGTATGACCACGTCTTGTATGCTATGTGAATATTATCCATTTTGTTAGAATTGCACAAACCATTGAAAACGATTCCATAACATTCAATTTATGTTTGCTTTCAAATTCATACACCGCGATAATTATTCACAATGAGCAAAGCCAGTGCCCACGAGGCTCTGTACGGTACTCAGCAGGCCAACACACATCTTTCACCGTTGGCCTGGAACATGAATCACCTCCGATTTCAGGTAGGCCCACGTCCATGCAATTTCTGTAGTTGCCATTGAAGGATTCGTGCACAGTAATCGTGCTTTGTCATGATTAATATAGGCTAATCGTTGTAAGCTATGTCCAGATTGTAAAATTTTCTTTGACAAAAAAAATGGTTGTATGGCCATATATAGTCATGATGTGCCTATATATGGTAATGATGTGATGTCATCATGACCATATTTAGGCATGTCGCATGTTTTGTCAAATAAATGTTGATAGTCTGGACAGGTATTTACAAATGTCTGTATAAATTTGAAAATGCTATATTTAGAATAGACTAATGAACATACTGACTGATGTTAAACATTATACAAAACTCCGCTATCACTAATCTCTCTCTCTCTCTCTCTCTCTCTCTCTCTCTCTCTCTCTCTC